AAATCAAACATGTCTGCAACAAAGCCAATACCTAAAGCGAACATTACTTTTTTGCAAACATTATTTTTTCCATAATTCACAGGCAGATTTTAAAATAAATGAGATCCATTCAATATCATACAGATCCTTCCATAAGGAAACAATGTTATATTCATTGTCATCTTGTGCAGAGCTCTACAACAAGTGTGCCGCGAGATGATGCCAGGGGTGCAGCGCAAAATGGCTCCCCAAGAGGAGGAAAGCACTGAGTACTTGTACCGGTATACAAGTATATATGGTTGGGCTGAGCCTGAAGCAGTTTTTACACCTGGTCTGGTATTTTGAGTACGGGTGTTACAAAATGTTATCTTCTCATTATCTTTAATGTGCTCCACACAATGGGGTGAAGTGAAAAGTGCATGTATAGAACCAAGACATCAAATCTGAAGGCTTCAAAACACTGATACTGATAGCTTAATAATATTATCCTAGCCCAGCGGTTCTCTACCCTTTTTAGTATTGTGACCTCTCTGTAACATCTGCCATTTTGGGGCCACCCACAACCTTGAAATTGTGAAACAGGTGTTGAGATTAGGAGAGGGTAAGGGGGCAGAGGGGGGTATTATTTTTTTTTTCAGTTAAAAAGGTGTTGGTACTGTAATTTTGATCAGGGATAAAGAGAACCAGAAAAAATGGGTTAAGATGGGTGGATTGTTCTAAGTCAAATCCCCAGAAAAGTTTTGAAAAAGTGACACATTTGGTTATACCATTGAGTGGTAACTGTCAACATTTAAGTGGTGGTGGGGGGAACACCTAAAAAAAAATATATTAAAATCATATCTATTATCTATTTTAATCCAATGTATTTTTTTTTAATTGAAAAGGAATTGCTAATATATTTTTTATTAAATTAGCTGCCGACTTCTACCTAGTTTTTCTTTATTATTATGTAGCTGTAGTGTAGTCAGAATGTGACAGTAAGAATCTAGTGTGATCACTGCACACACACAAACTTTGTCTACTCAGTATCATCAGCCAAGTAGCAAGTTAAATGAAACATCAACTGTAAAGAGAAAAAGCCATGGTCATAACAAAAGGTATGCATCTTGCTAAGACAAATAACTATACCCAGTTCACCAAAAGTATATCATTATTTTCAGAGATTTGCAGTTTCTTTTAGCTTTCATTTAGTTTCTATTTTCTATTACTAGGCTATTAATTTAATTTAGGTAAAATGAGCAAGCATGGAAAAGAAAAGCATTAGTTAGGTCTGATTGGAAGGCAGTGGTGAGGCAGGCCAAATCTCTCAATGGGATGTAGCCCAACAGGGATGGATGGATGGAAAATGTACACAAAATTTGTGTTAAAAAAACGTACAGGTTCTATACATGCACCATTTATTTCTCCCCATTTGGTGGAATACATTATAGAAAATGAAAAAATAACTCTATATTTTCAAAACCTGGACCAGGTCAAGATAACTCTATTTTTTTTATAACCCGGACCAAGCTCCCTTTATTTGCTAGATCCCTGTTGTGTGGGTGTGGTAGTACCTGATTCAGCCCTAATGTATGGTAAGACCTTGTTGCTACAAATGGGACCTTGGTTAGGCTCTTAATAAGCTGTCACACTTTGTGATAACAGAAATGTGTTCAACACCAACACAGTTAATAAAGAGAAATAAAGTGTAATATTATATCTTTATGGCATTACACATCTTTAAGAATGTTAACTAGATTGTTAATTGGTATATTTTTGCATGTGGTTTGCTGCAGACTTTTTGGAAAATTCTAAAGAGTGAAGATTTCTTGGAAAGGCCTAAAGCGTGCAGATTATTTGGAAAGGCATAAAGTGTGAAAACATCTTTGACGGGTCTAAAGTGTTCAGATTTCTTGGAATTGGAAAGCTCTAAAATGTGCTGTGCTTAAAACAAAGTTGCTGAGCTCTGATCCAGCATATTGTCTAATATCCTTTGTAATGACTGGAAGGTTAAAAATTAAATATGTAAGCAGGGTAATGACAATTGGCTGATATAGTGATCACAATTAGCTGATATATTGATCACAATTAGCTGATATATTTATCACAATTAGCTGATATATTGATCATAAATGATATATTGATTACAATTAGCTGACACGTTGATTACATTTGATATATATTGATTACACCTTGATATATTGATTGATTACACCTGATATATTAATTACAATTAGCTGATATACTGATTACACCTGATATTGATTACTATTGGTTAGTTTTAAAAAACTACATCCTTTCCACTCTGCACATTTAACTTTAAGCAATACTTTCTCCTCTTACATTATTTTGATGACGTGATTTTGATATAAAGAAATGATTTTGATATAACGAAATGATTTTGAAAATTTTTATGAAATGATTGCCTTAAAATCGTGCAATTTTTTCAAAAAGAAAGCTGGCCACCTCAAGATGTCCCATTAAAACAGACAACACTACAGGTTAATTTACTGAGCTTTCCGCATGAAATTTTCACTTCAATCTTTTCTAAAATCCTTGCACAGCTTTGTGCAGTAAAGGAAGAGGTCTAATTTTTATTTAAATTTCTTTAGACTAAATTTTTGTTTAGACCAATGACTTGACCAAAATTACACATGGACATTTATTATCATTATGACATGTGAGTCATGTCATCAACATATGAGTCAAGTCATCAACCTGTTATGGCACATATTTTCAGTCATATACATATTATTTACTGAATTAAAGATTTGCAGATGATGATTTTTTTTGTTTTTCTTTTTCCGTGAAGGTAAGATTCAATACATTGATTTGCAGAGAAGTTTAGTAGCCCCACTCCATTCGCACACCTTGAGACGGTGTTACAGTCAATTCAGATTAAATCACACACACAAAAATGTAAATATTTTTCATCAATTGCTAGTAATTTTTGTTTCCAAGTGACTAATGACATTTCAGAGTTCCAAGCCTGATCAGTGCCCTTAATATAATTTAGAGATGTGAAATTATTGTTGTCTACCAGTAACTCTGACACCACCTCATAAAACTTTTATGTAACAGGGTGTTGTGTAGAACGGGGCCTGCCAACTTAAAACAGCTCTTGGAGCCTCACAACAATTTTGATGGACAAAGGGCCACCACTAACCTTAAGTCATCATTAACCGTTGTTGGTTATATTTTTTCTGCCCTAACTTTTTATTTATTTTTAAATTAAACTTAAATGGATAAAATTATTTGATCATTGCACAATCACACTAATAATATTAAGCCTCATTACATCTCTTAAATGGATGGAATTAGTTGACCATTCGACAATCACACTAATATTAAGTCTCACTACATCTCTTTAAATGGATGGAATTAGTTGACCATTCGACAATCACACTAATATTAAGTCTCACTACATCTCTTAGAAAAAAACAGGTGTGAAAAGTTAAGAGCAGGTAGTAAATTAGTAGATTAGATTAATGAACTTTTTATTTGCACTTTCCAATACTTATCTGCCGTAAAAGCCTCTGCTACTAAATTGGATACACCTACTGGAATTCTCCAACATTCAAATTTGCTCTTAATATGAATAATATGGACTACATTTTGAAATCCTAACCAGGTTGATGGTACAAACCAGTACACTAGTAGTAGACATGTGTGTAGACACCACAAAACCTAATTGTAAACAATTTTATCAGTGATCAATTAAATAAAATGGAGAGATGTTGTTGCTTTTAGCCAGTTATAATTCATTTATTTTCCCTGACTACAGAAATAATACTATAACAAAATTGAAGCAAAAGTGGGACAGTTAAGTCGTACAAATATCTAAATTAGTCAAATAAATGGGTCAATGTATGAAAATATTTTGTTTTTAAATTTCATAGAAATGTTTGCCTAATATTCTTGAGTAAATATGATGACAAACTTAAAACCTCTGTAGGTCAAGCCCTGTATTACATAAGTACATAACTATTAATGGTATCACATTTGACCACCAGATCATTGCACAAGTATGTTGCCTTTACACACCAGCTCAACAAATCGCATTAAAACAATCAATCAAAAACTACATAAACTTCGGTAATTCTTACATCACTGAATCCACAAATAAATTGTCCAAACAAAATTTGACCAGTCCCAATGGCTGAGTTGTCTTATATTGAATAATCCCATGTACATCTGATGAAAACAGCTGATACCTCCATGGCCAACAACGAGATGCCATGACGTGGTTGGCCAGTGGACTTTTATAGGCGGGGTAAACCTAGCCATTGTGCGGTTATATAGTTGAACAGGAATGTATATCTGAATTTCACCTTGCCAAAGCCATCAAGATTGTGGTTGGCATTTGTCAATCTGAGGTCCACATGGTTCTGACCATGAAAAAAGTACTATATAGAAGCATTGTATTCTGAGCAAAAATAATGCTATTATGATAGAGGGCTTAAGCTTGAACATTGTATTAGCCAAGGAAAGAAAGAAGAAGAAAGAAAGAAGAAAAAAGAAAAAAAAAAAAAGAAAAAGGGGTGGGGGGGGTTATTTTGCACTAAAGTGAATGCCCCTTCCTGCCCCTGCCTAGCAGGTCTCACTGAGAGAGACAGAGAAGGCCAGAGAGAGAGAGAGAGAGAGAGAGAGAAAGAGAGAGCAGGTGTTCCAATATAAAGGAGGTGCAGTAGATGCCTGTGATCAGCCATCAGACACAAAAACAAAATGAAGGGCTGTTTAAATGTCCATAAAGAATTTCCTACATAATGGTTTTCATCAGCGTATTTTATAAGAAACGAGACAACCACTAATGCTTAAATACAATTTTTTAAAACTGTCCTACTTCAGCCAGGCTCACTTGATATCATCAGAAACATGTCAATGTCATCTTTAAAAGATGCATTGTTTCTAAACTATTTCATTATTATGTCAATTCAAATATCCTGCTTAAGAAATATGTCAACGTTAGGTATAAGCTTTGCATGAGATCTACTTCAATGTTAGTTATATCCAATACGGAGGGCACCAAAAAGATGGCTGACTTACATTAGTTCAGGTATTTCCTCGGCTTCCCCTTCAATTCTATCCTTAGCAGCAAGTATGATTTTCTTGGCTTTCGCAGAATGCCGTTCATAAAGCTCTGGATTCTTTTTCCACGCTTTCAATATATCGTAAGGCCCTCGTTTTTTTTCTTCCTCTGTCATAACCTTTTTCTCTGGGTTGAGAAGTGCTACTTTCTGGCAGTTTTTACCATGTTTTGTCATACCCACTGCTGACATTTTTGGGTAAACGTGACTGTTACTGTCCCGTGATTCTAATACAACAACATTATTTGGCTTATTCACAACTACACTAGAATTGTTTGTGCCTGCATTCAGTATTGGGCTTGCAATTAACGACACATTACCTGGCAGTGTTGTCACATTTTTTAGCAATGAAATTTGTTTGACAGGCTTAGGTAGCAAACTTGCCTGATTGACAATGGTCAGAGTCAAGGGATACGGCCTAACAGCCCCATTCATTTCTGGTACCTTGTTGGTGGTTAAAACTGAAGTTGGCTGACAAGCAGCCAGATGAATGCCAGGATTGTTGGGCTGAATGACCTGCTGCTGTAAGGAGTTGTTCATGAACAGGACTTGGGCCGTTGGCCTTTTGTAAACTAACGTCTGATTGACAAGAGTGGGTCTTTGTGTGAGAAGGGAAGTTGCAAAGCTCTGATGAGCTGGGGTGACGGGACGGACTTTTGAGGGTGCAGACTGTCCGTTGACGACCATCCCAGTGAGTAGAGAGACTTGTCGAGGTGCATTTTGTTTAGTTGGCCAAATGACCTGCCGAGTATTGTCATGAGCAGTAACATTCCCTGCGTTAAGGACAATTAACTTCTGCATAGCGGAGGGCTGGGTCTGTGGTAACAGCTGTATCTGTGGTGCTGGTTGTGGTGTATCAATTTTAGGAGAGAATGATGGTACCACCTGGACAGATCTGGTGAGACCAGATGTCTGGTTGAATACTGTGTTGGGCTGGATCAATGTCTGTCTTTGATACACTTGGTTGGCTCCAACCAAAGAAAAAGTTTTGGGTTTGCTATTTGTTGGAGGTGTTATGACGGTAAATACCTGATCACTTTGACGGTTCTCACATTGTAAACTGCTAAATGAACTCAAGCTGTTATCACCTGTACTAGAGACTTGATGCTTTTGTTGACAATTGTCTTCCAAAATGAGTTCTTGCTTAATTTGTAATAAATCTTTGCTAAATGATAATGTTGAAACATTTGCCCCAACAGCTGGAGAAGATTCATCAATGACTGATGTTAAAATCTTTGTGTCCCCAGCTTGAGAAGATTCAGGAGAAGTTTCATTGATGACAGATGCTACAATCATTTTATTCTCATCTGGGACAGATTCTTCCACTACTGAAGATGTTGAGAAAAGTTTAGATTCTTCCACTGCTGAAGATGTTGAGAAAAGTTTAGATTCTTCTACTGCTGAAGATGTTAATACAAGTTTAGATTCTTCCACTACTGAAGTTGTTGAGACAAGTGTGTCTCCAGACAGAGAAGCTTGTAATTTCTGCATAGAGGATGTTTGAATTTGGCACTTTTTCTCCGCACAGACGTCAACAATGTTGAGATCCTCTTCCTGTGACACATGAACACTTGAGACGTGTAAGTTCAATACATCAGACAATTCTGACTTGGCTTGGTCATTGGATGACTGACAGTCGTCACCTGTCTCTTCCAAACTGTTATGTTCTATTTTCACGTGGCTGACAGATTTCTGACAAACCTGTAATTGACTGCTTTCACTCAGCACTGAGTCTGTGATAGTCACTTGTTTTGAAGCAACTCTTTCCGCGTCCGGTTCCCTGATTCTAGCCCCTGCTTGTTGTGTAGAGGAATTGTTTCCTCTGATGCTGGTGTCAAAGAAATCTCTGTCCAGCTCAACATCCAATACCTGTTAGTATAACAATATTATACACATGTTAGACATGAGGAATCCTCAATAAAAATTATTTTTCAACTATGACTAAAATAATTAATCAGGAACCATCTTGGAACAATCCAGTTAAAATAGAAATACAAAACACAGAATTCTTTGCCACTACACATAAGCAATATACCAACCACCCAGGCCTTCAAAACTGCACTCGAAACATATCTTTTTAAATTATACTACCCTGAATGATTCCCCTCCTCTGACCGATAAACGATCTTGCTGGCTGCCGTCCATGGTTTGCCTTGTAAAAGTTATGGGGTGGGGTGGGTGAATATACATTGCTGTTCTTTATTTCATAAATGTATTTTATTTTAATGTCATGATTATGTCTCTTTTGATAAAATTTTTAAGTACAGCGCGGTGAGCCCAGCCCTAGGCTGGGGACCGCGCTATATAAGACCTCTTATTATTATTATTATTATAAAAACTCAAACTTACAGTTTCAGCACCAGGGGTCTGCAGGCCAGTAAATGTTTTATCAAGCTGTTGGGTGGAAAAAAAAAGGTAGTTTAATTTAAATTGAACTAAACTTAGAACAAATACTGATAAAAAATGCAATAAATATTTTCAGTAATTTTCAATCAGCAAATATTTGATCTAATGCTTCCATCAAAACCAAAGGGTATTATGCTTATAAAACATCCCAAAGTAATAGTAGCATTAAATTTATATTCAACTTTTGTTACTGACCCATTTCTGGCGTGATGTGTTGGTTTGCCTACCCTTAGGTGATGGGTAGGTTTTCCCACCCTGAGGTGATGGGTTGCTTTACCTACCCTGAGGTGATGGGTTGGTATGCCTACCTTAAGGTGATGTGTTGGTTTGTCTTCCTTGAGGTGATGTGTTGGCTTGTCTACCCTGAGGTGATATGTTGGTTTTCCTACCTTGAGGTGATGGGTTAGTTTACCTACCCTGAGGTGATGGGTTGGGTTGCCCCCACCCTGAGGTGATGTGTTGGTTTGTCTACCTTAAGGTGATGCATTTTTAGCCCTCCTTGAGTTGATGTGTTTGGTTTTCCTACCTTGAGGTGATGTGTTTCCTTGCCTACCTTCCGTTGATGTGTTTATTTGCCTACCTTTAGGTGATGTGTTTGTTTTCCTAACTTGAGGTGATGTGTTTCTTTGCCTACCTTTAGGTGATGTATAATGTCCACGGTTTTATTGCGGGAGTCGACAAAATGAAGCTGTACACGAACAGGGAATTCTCCCCAGCCTCTTCGGGTCAAATGAAATGGCGGGGAGCTGAAAGTAAACATGAGTCCAGAGATTAATCTCACTGTTATTAATCTATATAAAATTACACAATTATTGAATTCAAGTTCTTGAAATTTTATTTTAAAATAGTTTATTGTGACCACCATTTCAATAACCTGCTGTGTGTTTCAATCTTTTACTCTGAAGTTTTTGCACTGACGCAGAATTTATTGTAAAGCAATTTTTGAAAGCATTATTATACATCTAATTATATAAATCAGGCTAATTATACATCAAACTGACAAGACTGATACATGCAACAGTAAACAAATTTTAAAAAATCAAGGTTCAGGGAGAATATTCAAGGAAATTTCAGATTAGACGAGGCCTAAAACAAGGAATCTTACTTAAGTTGCATACAACTTAACCTAACTTTAGAGAGTTATAAGGAACAAATATATTGACACACAAGGAACAATAACTGGATACTTTCTGTGAGAAACCCAAGAGCCACAACCAATAGGCACTCTCTCAAAAAATAATCAGTTAGGTCTGAGTGGAAGGAAGTGGTGAGGAAGACAAAAGCCCTACATGGGCTGTAGAGCACCAGGTATAGATGATACATCTGATTAAGTTTCTTTCTATTCTGAAAATAACAATGACTATTTAAATGGTTCTGATTGAATCATACACTTTAGTTACTGACTCACCTAACATCTACTAAATCTGATGGGATAAAAACACCTTAATTACAGACTCACCTAATTTCTACTAAATCATTGGGCTTGTAGCTGTGATGTAAAAAGAACCAGACTTTCTTGACAAAGCTGGAGATGTCTGGATCAGACTTTGGACCACGGACATAGACCATCCATTTGTGGCTGGACATGTCATTGGCTTCTCTGTGGTCCACTGGAATGTATCTGAGATACAATGTAAAGACATGAGTAGCTTTTCTAAAGAAATTTTGTCAAAATAAAGTTTAAGTTCATAATAAACTATCCTGGGTTATTCATATTTTATTCTAGAAGCTTTGATTCTAAGCAAAAAGATTTATCATAAAATACAACTCTGACAAAGTTTATGAAAAATCTAAAAAACTTACTTTGATACATTTCCCACAATTATTTTTTTTTTAATTTTGAATCTTGCTCTTCTGTCATCGTAAGTTGCAGAGTTTGATGACATCAACTTGGGTGCCTGAATCAAAATCATCTTGTTAAGTTCAACAAAACTTATCAGATACGTCAGTGGTTCCCAACCTTTTTGAGCCCTTTTTAGAATAAATTTGTAGGGGGTGGAAAAAAAAGGGGGGGGGGGGGCTTAGGCCCAGCCTATGTCTTAAAGGGTAATGCGGTTAATGCATTTCTTGGAGCAGCCACAGAGCCCCTGAGAAGTGCATGTGGGGCCCTAAGTGTTAGGTGTATGAGAATCACTGTTGTGAAGGTGAGTGCTTTTTGGTCCCCGAGTTGTGTCATGAGTTGTATGTATTATTGTGGCTAAATGGTCATTGGATGACAGGGCAGCACAATAAACAAGTGTGTTATGGTGTATTTTTTACAGCCATGTTTATTATCATATCATGATAGGTCGAGATAAATGTAACCAAAATGTTCATGAAAACAGCGGAGGCTGTAGAGAAGAAGTAAAGTGATATTGTCCTTTAGATGGAACATCATTATTTGTAATAATATAGTAACATGATGAATTTGGACGTAGGCATTGGTTTTAAAGTAATTTTTTGAAAAATTACAATGCAGAATATTTTTGAAGGTTTTGAGATGGCCTGGAATAAAAAATTTGTTAAGTATTGAAAAGTTTTAAAGTATAGGATACTGTGAGACAATGATTCCATAACACGACAATTTTTAAGATGGTAGAGAATATGTGAATCACTGTTGTGAATGTGATCGCTTTTCGGTCGGAGAGTTGTGTCATGAGTTGCATTATTGTGGCTAAATGCTCATTGGGTGATACGAAAAGCATAATGAAGTCTGTGAATATGAGGTGTGAGATCGAGAGTTCATGACAAAGTTAGTGAGTGATAGTGAAGTCCACGCTTAGTAATAGATCATGGCTGATAGTCTGTCTGTATGAGAAGATATTTAACCACTTCATTACCGCAGGGTTTTTTTTGTTTTGTTTTTTTTGTGTTTTTTTTGTGTGTGTGTGCGCGCGCGCGCACACGCATCTATTTTTGCTGACTCAGCAACAAAAACTTAAAATATGAAATTTTCGGTATATTTCATTCTCTATACGATTCGCTTTTTAACTTCTCTATAGATTAACCAATAAGGAAATATATAGCATTGAAATTTGACGACGTAGTTCAGAAAAGTTCTTAAATTTTTGTTATGATGACAATGTGACATCCTTGGTAATTGAAAGTGGGTGACCGTGACGTCGCGTCGGTAATGAAGTGGTTAAACAAGGTGTATCTTTTCATGAAATGTTGTTACCTCTAGTATTTGGTGTGCATGACTCTTGGTGCCTGGCATTACAGTGTTATAGACTGTCATAAATAAGACAGCATTGTCATTAAAAACTCAAATACCAGAGTATTTTGACACTAAGGAGCACGGGTCGGGAAACACTGATATAGGTTAAAAATTATTCTTTTACGCTTCAACTGAACCCAGGCAGCATTATTAACTTAAATTTTTCCTTTCTAATTAAAATTGTTACCCACAGTTGCGTAGAAATTAATTAGTTTAAAAGGGATTTTTAACTCAAGTCTTAAATTCAGAATCTTACCACTGAAACAGGTGTAGTACATCTTGTCACTATTGGGGAAGGCTGAGAGACTGGTGTAACTACAGAGTTGGTTAAAGGGTTGCAAATCTTGTTACTGTCTTTACTTTCACAAGTGCCTTTAAATGAAGAAAAACAACATATCTTACAATATATATATATATATATATATATATCTATATATACATGTACATATACATATATATATCTATATATATCTATATATATATATATATATATATATGTAAACAAAACACAAAGATCTTCCATAAAGGTGTCATACACAAAACAATATCTTCTTCAAACAACATTCACATTTCTCACTGCAGCAAGCCATTGTACACCATCAATGGCTGACACGATCATCATCCCCATCAGTGGTGATACAGCCCATGTATTGTCCTGGCCTGAACCACCAGATCAATCAATGGCTTTCCATATCCCTTCCCAGACACCCAGCTGATGTAAGTACTTCTCTACATCATCAATCCCTCTCAATCTTGGCTGACCAGGGAGCTGTCTGCCCCAAGGTTTCTGCCTTTAGATGACATTTGCTGCTCTATACCCGGCATCCTCTCAAGATGTCCTGTCTGGCGCAGTCTGTCTGTTATAATTGTTGTGACTATGGGTGGGTCTTCAAAGAATTGACATGTCTCTTGGTTTGTTAGGATTCTTCATCCATCCTTATCTATCACCAGTCTGCATATTTTCCTGAGGATTTTCCTTTCCCAAGCTGACCCTATCAGCTGCTAAATATGTGCCTCATAAACACAATGGTAGAGTGAAAGTAAACCTAATCTAGCCATGAATGCTTAACCTCATTTATTACACAATTCTGTTATACATAAAAAAAAAATGACAATAATTTTTTTTTATAAATACAGGAATAAGACTCACTCGATTCCTTAACCTCATGGTGAGCCGGCACGCCGGAAGAGCCCAATATATGATGACGAGGAACTTTTCCTATATATTTTTTGACAGTTGGGTGGATGGAAGCGGGTGGGGCATTTGGAGTTCCCTGGAAGACATAAGGTTTACAGCTGTTTCAATGCAATCAATGGTTCAATGAAAATTAACAAGATACTAAATACTTTTGAGACAACTAACTTACACACAAAGTTTATTCTAAAAGACCAGTATCAAATTGTATTGTGAGATTTAAGATTACGTTTTTTTAAAAATCTTTTCACATCTGATAGTAAGATTCATACCTGTACCTTAATTACTCCAAATTTTTAATCAAGTGATTTATTATCCTTTAGAAAAACCTCCAATAAAGACAAATGGTTGACATCCTTAGTCAGTAAATTAGCAAACTTAGTTCACAGAAAATTTGTAATGATCTAAACTTATCCCATGCACCAAAATATGTTTTTAGAATCAAAATAAAGCATCACAAAATTAAGATATTTTTTATTTAAAATTAAACTGTTGCAACAAAAAAAAACACCAAAAAGAAATAAGTATATAAACAATTCCTCAAGATTTTTTTTTACATGGAACATTTAGAAAATCAGAAGGTTATATCTTCAAATACAACTTTCATTGACGTGTGCTTCTGAAGTTTGAGTCTGAGAATCCGCAGTTTATACATAAATTAAATACCATTTACCTGGGAGGAAGCAGCTGATCTGTTTGCTTGACCATAATAATTGGCAACAATACACGCTCGCAATCTGTCCATCATTAGCCTGGCCTCATTTAGCCTCTACACAAACACAAGTAGCAAATGTATAAATGTATTACTATTAATTTTTATTAGTAAAATACAGAGCAATGCTAAGAATTATAATTATTTTTATGAATTTCAATATACAGAGGAACGTACCCAATCAACCTGTTGCAGTTCTGATTCTTTGTTGGTAATTTCTTTACTAAATTCATTTCGGACGATCCCCTGGATGCGACGACACACAGCTTGTTTGGCTGTGAATATTTCAAAGTCATTAAATTAATTTTTTAGTATTAAAATTATATTGATTCCAAGAAAATCTTAACATGATGAAGCAAGTCCAAATTTGTTTAACAGAGAATAACTAATTTATTGTGCCAAAAAATGTATCCATTTTGCATGAAAGCTAAATTTTCATTAATATGTTCTCTAAATTAATCGAGAAGTTTATGGAAATTAATGTTATAATTTCTAAAAAATAATATAGAAAGATGGTTCCCCGACAATGTGAAGATGCATACAAAGATGCATCAAAGTTTTACCTCCTATTCAAATAAAGGACAAATCTAAAGATCTTTTTTTTATATTTATCTTTATTTCAAAAGATAAAATGCTTGATCAAATATACTGAAACTTTCATTCATTAAAAGGTAAATAGCAACAAAACAAAATTATTCAGAGTAACCAAAAGATGATTTGTATTTGGAAACCTTAGAATTTAACTGGTTAAATCAGTTTTAATGGGATCACTTGCACAGTGGCATTCTTTATATGCATACAGCATCATTGCTCTTAGTTGATCAAGAAGTTACTATATGTATTGTATTAACGTATAGCTTACTGTTCAAGCTAATCACATTGCCCAAGTAATGCTTTATGACTGTAACACATAATTATATTTGATGTTCATTTAATGCTGAGTAGAAATCACAAATTCATGTGAGAGTAGGGATACATATGGATAGATACATCTAATTATAGATAGTAAGGAACTATGTTAGTGACTATGTTGGAGAACATAAAAAAGCAGTAAGGAACATTTTGTCTCATGAGTAAAGAAGGATACTAAGTATAAGTGACTTGACATGTTATTTTCTAAAGAGAAATGGATTTATTATGAATTTTATTTAATCATCGTTCCAATAGGTGTCATATGTGAATTTTGTTAAACTTTTAAGTGTTTATGTAAATAAAGAGCTGATATGTGACGATTTGGACTTTGTGTTATTACACGGAGATGTGAAAAATTAGTAGTTGATGATATTTGAGTACTTTCATAGCGCTTGAGTCCATGCTATTTTAGCATTGTTATAGAGAGCTTGTTTACATAATATTTCTCGTGCGTGCCCTCTGATTGACCTCCGCATGAGACGCTGTGTTCACAAAGGGGTGTAGCGTAGTCTTTTGATCTATTCGTGTTTATGCCGCCAACTACTAAAAATAATTAATCTGTTCCAAATAGTATTTTGTAGAATGAATGGATTGTTCTAGAAATGCCATGTAGCTTATCGAAGGCAGGGCTTAGGCGTCGGTAGACCCACCTATATAAGGGATTGACAGGCACGGACGAGAAGATGAAGATTCAGATAGATTTTATTAACTTTACGAGGCGTGTTTTATTCTTTGTGTATTTGGGTGCTCATATGTGTTTATTTCGCATTATTTATTGGCACATTATTCTAACTGTGTTAACTGTGTATCGGTACAAGATCTACCATACTGTAAGTTGAAGATAGTAATTATATTTTCTTTTCTTTTGTAATTATCTTAAGAATTAATAAATCTTATTAATTGTTACTAGAAACTGTTTTGGGTCGTATCTTTAATATTGTTGATTCTATGGTATCGTCCTTTGTTAGGCACTGTTTACAACGAGCCAATTAAAATTAAAATTAAAATAGGAGATTAATTTCTCCCAATACAAGTCAGTGCGTAACAAGCATGCTCACAGCGCCCTGATGTCATATATGGTATCAACTAAGATATCCACTCAGGTCACGATCACTCTCACAAGTTATAATAGAAACAGAAGAAATCACAATGATATCAGAATATAGAGGGGTTACAAATATAATTAATATATAATAAATAACCTTTATGTCTGTTTAGAGTGTTGCATAATTTTAAGTAGGAATCCCCAATAAAAAAAATCTAAACTTGTACACCACATAGTTATTTGTATCCAACTCAGGAGTTTTTAAAAATAAGCTTCACGAAAGTTGTTGAGAAAAAAAAAAGCCAAAAACTGTGACATTTGAAAAAAAAAATTTAACTGCAAAGAAGAGAATGCACAGAATGTCATCAAAGTTCTTTTTGTTTTAAAATTATACCACATAATCCTGACCTGTCATTTTTTAAAAAATAAAAGCATTATATAAAAAAGAAGCCACATTTACTTCAAAGAAAGAAGCCACATTTACTTCAAAGATCTCAGCATAGCTCAACCAGATTAGTAATGACTTTTGGGAAAAAATGTTGACATCTGCTTATATTATAATCTTTTTATTTACTATATAAAAGAAAGCAATTAAAAGCTGAATCCTTTCGTCTACTTTACCATCTTCTTCCAAAGCTCTCTGTCTTTTTGCCTGCTGGTCCCCAACATCAGCATAATCAGGGTCAGCTTCTTCAAGATTGCGCTTCTGAGATGACATTTTGAGGCCTCAGCAGCTATTTTAAGCCTAAGCAATGATAAGATGACTTCATAAGATTTAAATTTCTTAAAACTAGAACTAGATATCGAAAGACAAATTTCAGCAAACAGAACCAAGTAACAATCATTTAATCATATTTCTCCATTTCAACACAAAAGCAACCTATTTTTCAAATTCATCAAATTATTTTGATTGTTTCTGTTAAATTTATAATCAAATTTACAATGAACACCAATATCCTGATATCAATATTAACAGGTCACTACCTCTTTAAGTATAAGTGAATAACTTAACATAGGTCAGACAAGGCCAAAAGAATTATTTATTCATTGTGTTTAATTGTAAATTGTAAGCCTATAGTAGATACATTATACATGTTCTTATTGATTAAGATAGTTAAGTAAAATTCAAATAATAATAAAACTAATACACTTCTGATGGCTTATTTTCTTCTTCTTCACCTCTTCTATATTTTGAGGGCCATGATCAATGTATTGATCATTCTGACTGTCTCCTATTGATTTTCATCTATAAAAACTGGTTCCTGGACAAGGCCTACTCACTACTTTTTGTAACATTATTATTATTCATAATAAAAATTTACAGTTATAACTTAAGAATTAATTTATTTCATAAAAAGACTGAGGAGGCAGAGGTGAAGCATGAAAAACTGTAGCCTGATACTGAATTAGGGCAGCAATTAGAAAAACAATTTGTCTGGGTACGCAGGTTTGTTGTCTCTAATAGACTCTAATCTTAGCAATAATTGCAGTACTGGGCAGTACATCTAAATATATTTATATACCGGTATTAATATATATATATATTTATTTATTAATTGATTAATTGAGCTGTTTGCGTTTTGCCTGCACGGGCCTGGACTGAGGTTGGACTCCGAAGACTAGACTTAGGCCTATATTTAATCATATATTTATTTTAGGTGGGAGACAAGTTGCTGTGATCTTAACATAGGTAGCCTCTGCTAAGACGTAAACTTACTACTTTGTGATAACATATCGATAGCAGGAAGAGTCTGTTATCGAAATGTTACATTTTTCGACTCTTCAGATGCCGTGAGCAATAGCAATGTATGAAAAACGCAGCCTGCATAAAATTAAAAAATGTACATTTTCATTTAACGACACAAATCAATGCCAATAAAAATATTATATTTTCATTTTTATACAATTTTTTTTTTTTTTTAATTTAAAAATTGTTCTACCAATTTTTCAAAATGACCTTTTATTTATTTGTATAGATACCAACCAGAAATAGATGCAATGAAATTGAAATTATTTCCTGTGGTGGACACTTTGGTTTTTATAAGAATTTGAGTCTTTTACCGAGTTAACATGTAATCTTGACTGGCAACCAGAATACATGAATCATATATGTTTTTATTAATTTTTTAAAAGGTTCTAGCATTTTAACATTTACATAAACTAAGCATAAGCCGAAACGCAGTGACTCTCTTGTTTACCTTAATAATAGTTACAATTATTTTCCTATATACTCCAATTTCATCTGATTAGACTGATCATAATGTATTTCCTAAAGATATTTAAATGTTAAGTAACTTAGACTTAGGGATATAGTTGAAATTGTTTTTTAATTATTATGTTATGAAAGTGTTGAACGGAAATCTTGAACTCAGACGCTTGGAACTGATTAATTAGAAATTATTAGTCTAAATTAGAGTCTTTGGCGCATTTTAGTAAACCACGCCCATTTTTTAAATGCACCAGACCCATTTTTTTAAATGCTAATGATATGCCATTTGGAACAAACACCTTTTTGAAACACAAAATTTATATTTTAGGTTAAGTTGTTTGGATGAAAGCTTCGCCACGCTTCGTCCCCTACCCATACAAATTTCAAACCTAGATTTATTATTTATCACATTCGATTCCGAAAACATGTGAAGACATTTTAAAATTAGTTTTAATAAAAGTTTTTAATTTTTAGTTCATGTCTTTAATTGTTAAAAATATATTCTTCCAATGCCCAAATCTCTCGGCTGTGGGACGCTACAGAGCTAAAATTTAGTAAATAGCCTATTTTTCTCTAAAGAGTGTGTTGTTGGAGGGGGACTTAAGACTAACAATCACTCTGCCCACGCCCATTAATCGCTTGGAACCACCTGGACTATGCCGCCGTGGAGTCGACATCAATCGAGAGCTTCAAAGCTGCCCTGGCATCCGCTAGGAGCCGATAGGATAGCAGCATCGCTTCCCCAAAATTGCGAAATAAAATAAAAAAGATGGACATAACTTATATTTAAATAGAGTGCATTCAATAATAGTGAGACCATTTTGTAGAAAAACAATCTCCCTTTTGAATCTTAATAGTCATAACATAGATTTACTTGATTAAATTATCGTGTTAAGTGTGTGTATGCGTCCGCTCAAGTATTTCTTTTGTGTGTGCGTGTTATTGCTTGTGTTTTTAACCTAGTTTGTGTTAACTCTGCGTGTTGTGGATCCGTGACATGCATCCCTTGCAATAAAAACAATCTTTTTCTGAACTCTGATTTTGTATTTTTATATTAACCTACTAGTATAATTAAATAACTATCTTTGGTATCGTTTCTCTTTGTATATCGGAACCGGTTTTCTGTCCTTTGTTACGCATTGCTCTTCTAGCGAGACAAATTTTAAAACTGATTAAAAATTTTAAATATAATAAAGGTGCGTAGCATATTGTCTAGTAATAATTTTATTGAAAATTCGTTGTAACCTGTTACATAATATACACCGCATTTTAAGAATGAAATACTTTTCGTGTGATATTTAAGAATATAAAAAGTTAATAAAACGCCGTTATATAGTAAATAAAAGTAGACTTGAAAAAAAAGTGTGTGGGGGGTGGGGAGAGGCGTTGCTTCGATCATAATTGAACACTGCCTGGTCACACACGCAACATGAGAAACCACGTTCACCACTGAATCAAATAATCTGTACCATAAAACACCATTTATATTTAGCATTATTTCTGGTTCCGACATTATATTATATGATGCATTTTGTATACGTCACTAAGTACTTAAGATTATTAAATAGACACACATTCTATATTTATAAACTAGTTCCCCTTTCTCATCAGCAACACTTTTGTTTTTATTAACTGTTGCGTCTTTATTTTAAAGCGTCCATTGTAAGCTGAGTTTGTTAGGTAAATTGTAAGCTGGGTTTGTTTGGTTGTCTGTAGACCTATATAAACAATACTATTGACCGTCTATAGAGAATAATGTGGTCACCAACTGTTGCTAATGAAAGTGACTATAAATGCACGGGGCTGTCAATGTAAATAACGCATGCGTACATCCACACCAACCTTTTTCCAAGTTTCTTCCCCTTAAATTTAATGTATAATTATGACTCCAAGGGGAGTATTTATTCTATTGAAACTCTTAAATCTTTGGTACGTATACGTACATACCCTGCCCACACACAAAATCGCATACGTTGAACGAGCATACATATATACCATAATCGTGAAGTTGTTTGTTGTTGTTTTTTTTAATGTTTGTTGTTTTTTGTGCTTTATTTATGTACAATTTTTAATTATGTTGAGGTTGAAGCAATATTTCCTAGTTAGAGAGTAAACAATATGTTACTCACGTTGTTCTTGTACGTGTCCCCACTCTGGAAATTGCCGAAAGGCACATGCCCAAATGACCACTGGATCTGAATGATGATTATATTGAAGAATGCCTTGATCGATAAAGGGAATAAACCAGTAATTGAATGTTTATTTGTTCCTTACTGTAACAGTAATGCTCCAAGAGGCTGATGTCTTAAAATACATCGCTGTCACCTTTATGAGTGGTACTGACATGGTGTGATGATAGTGCTGTCACATGTGAATCGTACTGGCAATGTGTGATGATAGTGCTGTCATATATCTGAATGGTACTGACAAGGTGTGAGGATAGTGCTGTCATATCGGAATGGTACTGACATGATATGATGATAGTGCTGTCACATTACTTTCTGATACTTTTTCTTTCAAACTATTTCCACGGGGAGGGGGGTATTTAAGATGTTTGGGTGGACAGTGCCAATGGCGTATAAAGGGGTGGGCTGATGGGGTTGTCTGCCCAAGTCTTACTGTTTTCTTTATATGGAGGGGCGGCATTTTTAGAACATTTGTGGAAGTGAAAAGGGAATGGGGAAAACCTCTTGGCTTTCTTTGAGCCCCTCTCCAGAAAAGTTTTGATTAATTCAAACTGCAAGAATGCTTTTTGAGCACATTCCTGAGTTTATTTGTTCATCCTCTTTCTCCACTTAATCTGAGAGCAAGAGTGGGATATGCTTGTTAAAAATGTAGGTGTGACTTGAACTCAGAGTCGTCATATGGGCCCTGCAACCTCAGCGGGGGCAGGATAATTGGGGTATTTAAAGGACTTAGAGTTGTCGTGTGAACCTTTTTTAAAAATTATCAACTTTCAATTTGGGGGAAGGGGGATGGGTGGGCGAGGCAAAACCAAAAAAATGGCATGGGTTGGGGGGGGGGGTGGAATAAAAAAGTGAGAAGAGGTTTAATTTTTGTTTTGTTTCTGAGGCTCATCACTTAACTCTTATTGTGTTTAGCTTAATTGTATTTTACTATATTATATATGGGTTACATCTAACGCAATATACGTGTTATAAGAGTGAAAATTAAAGAAGAAAACTAGATAAAGCAGATCCATTTGATGAAACAGGTTTTTGATTGCGTCACAACTCTGGGCGCGTGACTTCAGATTAGGATACATACAATCTATCATTGTGTCTTGTGTGTCTCTTCGAGCCGAGGATGTGTCCGTGAACTGCATGACGTGTGTGTCTGCGTGAATGTGTGTGTCTGCATGAATGTGTGACTGCTTGCAAGTGTTTGTGTCTGCGACCTGCCCTCATGTGTGTTGTGTGTCTGTGCGCATGTGTTTGTGCTTTGACAATAACATTCAAAGATGCAAGCATAGTTCTCTGTCCACGGTTTAGATTGAAGGGGGCTTCCATCAAAATTTTGGAGAGACTTGATTTATGGGGGGGGGGGGGGGNNGGGGGGGGGGGGGGGGTCTTTGGGTTCATATGTTTTATTATTTAAATGGTGTTAGTGTTAGAGGTCCGCACTAATATTGCCGTTGGGTGGAATCTCAGGTGTGGCCATTGGGTGGGATATCCGGTGTGGACATTGGGTGGGATATCCGAAGTGGCCATTGGGTGGGAAATCCGATGTGGCCATTGGGTGGGAAATCCGGTGTTGCAGATGAGACACCCGGTAATATGGTGTGACTTTGCCAATAAAATGCTTAAAATGAGCTGGTCAGCCATGATTTACTCAGAGTTAAAAGTTAAACGCTTAATGGTTTGTGTTTGCAGTGTTTCCTCATCCTCAGTTGCCAACCGATCAAGTGTAACGCACCTCTCAGATTTTGGACATCGACTTTTTGCTGATTTAGTCGAGTTTAATTTTGATTTCAATGGATCATAATTTATTTCTCCAATTTAAACCAAAAAAAAAATGTTTCATGCATTTCAAATATAGAAAAGTTAATTAAGTTGTTGGTTAAGTTCAGTATTGTATAGATGCTTTCCTGGTTTCATTTACAAATTAGCATGAGGCAAAGCCACCAGCGGTGTCTTATAGAAGCGGGGTGGAAGGGGGGGGGGGCTTTCTTTTCTGTTTATGAAACGACGACATTTTCTGCCAAATGAATAGATTTTTCGGTCAAAGTGAGGCGGCACTATGCCTAGCTACGCCCCTGGTCACCACTGTGGTGAAATGGGCACTATACCTAGCTACGCCCCTGGTCACCACTGTGGTGAAATGGGCACTATACCTAGCTACGCCCCTGGTCACCACTGTGGTGAAATGGGCACTATACCTAGCTACGCCCCTGGTCACCACTGTGGTGAAATGACATTGATTCGTGGGTGTGTGGGAACTACTCTCGTATGAGTGTCACACCTGCTTGTGTCTAGGAACCAGTCTTATATGAGCGTCACACCTGCTCGTGTCTAGGAACCAGTCTTATATGAGGGTCACACCTGCTCGTGTCTAGGAACCAGTCTTATATGAGCGTCACACCTGCTCGTGTCTAGGAACCATGCTATTACTATTACAGTT